GTTCATTGACCTATAATTTAGTGTTAAGTCCCAGACTGCCGGGTGTTCCTAGTGCCAAGAAGTCGAAACGTGAGGATTATGACGCTACTAATAGAACAAAAATTACTTTTGTAATAAAGAGTTGACGATATCACGAGATTCATGATTCGCCTACACTTTCTTGCAGTGCTTCAGATTTTTACAAGAATATAAAAAAAAACGGATATTAAATCTAACCACACAGCTTGCCTTAGCAACGCTATTCCACCCATTTTATCTTTCTCGTAATTTATTTCAATTTCATTCTTAAAGCTTTTACTTTACCTATTGTTTGAGTAAACTATTCCTTCATAGCAAAGAAAGGTTTAACGGTATGTACTAGCTGTCGCCTGCAACTCCGTCCGCGTGACATTAAAAAATTAGTGCCTTATGCGTTCTTCTAGACTATGTTCTATTTGACGTACAAGTTTAATCGAGATTCCTTCACATCACAAACATTGGCATTTATAATATTTGTAAGATTTAATGTCAAATGCTAAAACAACATATAAAATTTCTTTTACAAAACTCTAAAGAAAGGTTTTAATCCACGTTATTTTTGATCTTGACCATCAAAGTCAATTTCGTAACCGTCTAACAATCATCTATAAACAAACGAAGCTAAGTACACCATTGTTAATATCGCAATCGATTCTCGTTACTGACCGTATCGATAAAATGCAATTAGATAACAAAAGCGTTGCCATCACAAGCCACGCCGCTGAGATATCAAACACAATAATTGATAGAATCAAAATCGAATTTAAGAATCGTAATCCAGTTATAGATATTAGCTGTATTTATACTAATTACTAATTGAACGTTTAGTTAAAACCGTTAATAACTGTGAACGGCGACTGTCGAAATGCTGGTCCAAATTACATAATTACATTCCCTAGACCAGGGATAACGAACCATTGGCAGGCGTGCCGTCAACGCTAGGCTACGGAAAGTGGAATACCTTGACTTCATGCAATGTTAAGAAAAATGGCACGATGAAAGGTTCACTATCCCTGGATGATTTTGGCAGTGTAAATTCACAGTCAGTACATTTGACAGAGTTTGTGTTAATGCTGTTAGCTTCCTAAAGACGTCGATAACCTAATATATCAGCACGTTTATTTAAAAAGGTTTCGGAACATTGTTCTTACCGTCTCACTCAGTAGTCAGTAGCTGGACTCTGAGTGTCGATTTAATTTAAAAAGACTACACTGAGGGATTGCAAGTCGACGCAACGTGGATAGGCCTCCCGCAAGATGGACCGATGAATTGGTCAAGGTTGCAAGTGTATCATCGTGGCGATCTTTAGGTGAAGCGTATAGAGCAGTGGGTGTCATTGGTTAACACAAAAAGAGTAATAGACTATGGCATTTTTCACTCTGTAATTTCGGAAAGTAAATTAAAGTTTACGGATCATAACTGGTTCAATTTTAACGATGAAATTACTACTGGGAAGTGCTGAGAGGTTTGTAATCACGAGTCTGAAATTACTCGCATTTAAAATACAGAGCGTGAGAATTATCGTAAATACAGGTGGTCAAAATCGACCTGATTAAAGAGCTAATGTACCATATCGTAGTCAAATTAAATAATCTGACTTTAGCAAAAATGATTGTGTTTACAAGTTTTTTTTTGTCTAATTACATAGTCGGATGCGATGTTTATATTGTATTGTATATTAAAACTAAACTGTTGAAGATTGTGACAAGGTTTAAAGACAAAATTACATGTCTTTTAACCTTTTTTGTTTGTTTTTTTTTGTGTTATTTTAGTTATGTTGTTTGTTACACAAATTATACATGTAATACGCGGGAGGTCTGTGTGCTAATCTTAAGGTACATGTAGGTGGTCATAAAAATTTTGATTAACATTGATACTCGCATTTAAATTAAACTGGATGTTAAACTCAGAGTTCTTCGAATTCGTACCACGGTTTGATTTTAATCTACCAAAGTTTCTGTTAGGGTTCCGTTTAATAAAACTTTGCATTAACTCTTATATTATAAAGATACATGAAGAGAAGAAATAAAGACTATCCTTTCATCTAAATTACATCGCAAACTTCAAGGATCTAAGGATACGAATTAGAAAAAAAAATTAACACGCCTATGTTTTTTTCCAGACTATTTTCTACATCTATGCCAAATTTTAGCGAAATCCATTGAACTGTTCTGGAGATACGTTCAAACAAACATCCATCCTTCTATTATATTATTATATATAGACATGATATTTATAATATTATAATAGTAAGATTAGATACCAACAGTATCCAGTTGATTGTCAAAAAAAATCCGACAGTCTTTTGTCAAAGTATAAAAAAAGTCTCGCAAACTTTACGTGTCCCTAAAACCCAACAGAATTTACCAACTGTGTACGTACTCTTTCGTACATTAAGAGGGCCATCAAAACCCTGTTTTACAACTTCTTAATTCCGCTCACCGGATAAAGATATCTAAACGTTTCTTAAATGTCAGATAAAATGGCTAACATTACAATATTATGGAAAACTAGAAAATGTATAGTATTAAAAAATATTCCTATTAAAAAATTCTAATATTTTCGACTTTGAAATAGTCTAGATTGATAGATAAAATCTAAGATAATCAGAAAGATTTCTACTTATTGGAACTAAATGAAAAGTCAAATTAAGCTATCCATATATAAAAGCGTAAAGCGGAGCGTCGGTTGCTCAGTGGTACTTGACTTGCAATCTGTAGGTCCTGGGTTCAAATCCCGCCATGTACCAATGTGTTTTTAGATTTCCGATTTACATATGTACATTTATCCAACGTTCTTACGATGAAGGAAAACAACGTGATGCAACCTGCACATATCTGAGAAGTAATTCAAAGATATGTGTGAAGTCAACCCGCACTTGGCCAGCGTGGTTGACTATGGCCTAATCATCCTTAACTTAGGGTAGGCTCCGAGCCCCTCGATGGGGACGTATAGTGAGCTGATGAAATATAAAGCCACATTGCAATTAAATTTTATAATGAGAAAATAGAATGAGAGATAAAAAAACAAATCAATTCTCTCAATAGGTTATTCAATGCTTAGAGGCATTCCACATTACAATCGTTATTTTATATCTAAATTTAATTTGAATATACTTAATAGATACATCAGAGGCAAAAAGCTTATTTCCATGACATGGAATTGGGCAGCGGTATGTTATAGTTCATATAAACCGATTGACTTATGTGACCCGGTGGACATAAATGAAAGTAAAATACAAAAACTCATTAGCGTCCCCCATTTTAAAGTGCCACAAGATACTAGTCGTACTGTAGCTGTATTTTTTGGCAATTTCAATGCCATGTAGGTTTTATATGTTTTGTGATAGAATTACCTGAAGAAAACCTCTCTTACCAGGTCTCATTTAGCTTTATATATATGCATAAAAAAATTAAAGTAATAATTACAAATTAATTCAATTATTATAATACTTGTATGGACTCCAGAAGAATAAAAGCCTCCTCCAACTTTAATTAATTGTATGGATATATATTAAAATAAATAAATACCGGGCCACATAAATTTGTCGGATTATACGATAGCAATCGAGTACGACCACCGCTGGTAATAGCCGGGGGCAGTCTATTGACTCATTATCACGATTTGACAGCTCATGGGAGCATCGCCCAACGAAATATGTAATTAGGGCCTAGATTAAGACCGTTTCGTATTGTTTGTGAGTGTTAAAATATCATTTAGATGTCTATTCTGTTTCGCTGTGTCTACTCTTTTGGATATCTGTAAACTATGATTTATGTTACTAACATAATTCGCGATACTGTGAACCAGTAATTAAGTGTAATTAGCGAATAAAGCCAATGTTGTATTCACATACTTTGTCTTACTTTAACCTGAAAGTTTGATCTAAAAGTACGCGTTCATAGTCCTTCGCCGGACGCATCGCACGTACGGTTCGCAACGGATTCTATTTTGCTTATGTTTTACATAGCGCTGAGTCCATTATCTGCCCAGCCCACATCGATAGACGGCATATATCAATAAGCAATCCGTTGCGGGTCGTGTGTGCGGTGCTGTTTACAACAGGAAAGTAAAGTGTGACAAATAAGCTACTTAGCGTAATCAAGGACGGTGTAAACACTCCCTTAGCTTGTTTTCAGTTGGCTAAAGTATAAGTAGTAGTAGTAGTACTGGTATAAGTATAAAATTGTCTCTTAATTCATAAAAACAGATTAAATAAATTTGTCAAAAGTCGAGCTGTTGTTAATCTGTGGCGGAATTAATAGAGCACAGATAAAACGATTAAGCGACGGTGTTCCGACACTAATCGGAAGAACGTCCCATTTAAAATATTACGAAATGTTACGCTTTTCCGTTGCCGTTAATTTGTGGGAATCTTCGTCAATAATTTTGACCTGAACCGATGTCTTTTCGTCTATGGAATTTATGAAAATTATTACCTGTCTTTAGTTATTAGAGTGTCTTAAGGTTGTAAAACTTCGGAAATACATTAAATTAAACTCTCAGAAGCTAATATAAATAACACAAATATCAATGTCACGTATCAAGGTCCGTGTGCGTTCGGACGCTTGCACAAGTCACGTCTAGATGTCGTCTACCACAAATAACCATCAATGTTATTAACGCTACATTAAGGCGTGTAAAAAAACATTCGCTAATTTTCCACGTGTTCTTAAATTAGGCAAAAAATGAAATAGAGCAGACATATGTCTTATTGACTAACTAGTTGTTTTATAATTACTAGAACAGTTGCTTAGAGATTAGTGATGCTTAATTTACACTAAAGTTTACCTTAGTGTAAATTAATGAATGTGGATTTAGCAGTTAGGCCACGACTTAGTCTTGTATGATTTACCTTGGGCAGTGTTACATGACTTCAAAATACTTCAAGATAAGTTAGTCCATTTTGAAAACAGTTTTTAACATTTTTAGCGTGAGTAAGAGAGTAAATGTGTATTGAAGCGTAGTACGCAATAACTTACTGTAAACGCCTTTGTCTTCTGTAGTACCGTTGACGGTGCCATCGGGCAACAGCTGGAGATATCGATTCTTGAGGAACATCTGTATGGTGCGCGAGGTGCCGGTGATGTGGCTGAGGTTGGCGGAGCGCTGCGCGCGCGGCTCGGCGGGGGCGGGCGCGGGGCCGGGCGCGGGGCCAGGCGCGGGCGCGGCGGCGCACGTCGCCAGCGCCAGCGCCGCCACCAGCAGCCGCAGGGGGCGCGTCCGCGAGCGCATGACGCGCCGCGCCCATGGCAGCCGCGCGGGCGCCGTCACTGCTCAGCGCCCCGCGAGGCCCGCATTCTCGCCGCCACGCATGCACTTCGACACGCGCTTTATACGGCACGGGCCTTACGCAGTCCCTTGCCGCACGCCCCTTTCGCACATCATAAGTCTCATAAGAATCACTCAATCACTGCCAGATATCGATCCAAGGCCGCGCACGTGAGGCATGTTAGACGTATTGCACCATGCGAGTTAGATTTGCGACAGCCTCGCGTATCTCGGCTTACTGTTAGCCGCAAACGAACTGAGGTTGCGCCGGCGCCGTCTCACGCTCTGCAACAAACAATTGGTTTCATGTTAATAATAGAATAGAATATCGATTCGCAAAATGTTTAGATTGGAAACCGATAGGGCTGCGAGTAGGTGTCGCATTGCAATCACAATCGATAATTGGACACAAAGATATAGTTTCGAAACATATTTGCAACACTTTGTAGGCGGGGAAATAATAGCAAAAGTATGAATGATAATAAATGCCATTTATCATCTGGAAAAAGTCTAAGCAAATTATCCCCACAACGAATATAAAAACTCGTTCTTTAGCACAACGCAAGTGACGTTAAAAACAAAGACAATCATAGAGATAAAGACTAAAGAGTAAAGAATTCATTAATTTAGTCATCTAACCAAACGCTTCGTTGACAAAATACTCGACTAATAACACGACATAAACTTAGTTGACAAAGCTGTATTTACGATAATGAATTACTCATTTTATTACGTTTATCTACAAATGAAGTAGACATTAGACGTAATAGAATTGAATACTTCACTACAGCTCGATAATTATTTGAAACATGAGAATAATCATTGGACATTAATCATATATACAGCACAGATAAAAGAGAAAAAAATACACACAGCATAGATTCAAAAGTGGTAGAGCCCGCTTTAACATCTTCGCACGAATCGGCCCGGCTCGCCCGGTGAAATACCACGACCTCACAGAAGACAGGCGTCAAGTGGAAGCAATTCCGCGTTTCCTCTGATGAGTGTGCGTCCCGGAGGCCTAATTTAGTCTTCTTTCCCTTCCCACCCTTTATCTTATAAGGAAAGGATGGGAAGTGGAAGTGGACTTTCCGGATGAGAGGATGCATGGTAGGGGAAAATATTTTCTTTCTGTGCATCCTCTCCTCCGTCGATAAAAAGTAGGCAACGCATATGCAATTGCGTATGTCTATGGGCAACGGTCACTTCGTTATTTCAGCGATTTCAGGTGCCCGCTCGCTCGTTTGCCACCTTATGATATAAAAAAATTATAACGAAAAATGAAAGAAAAGTGTGGCAAAAGGACCCAGCGTATGCAGGGACAGCCTAAAAAGTCTTTGCGCTGGTATTCAGTCGGCTCCTTCAATGTTATTCATATCTATGTCAGTCCCTGGTTCTTGTAACCGTTATTTGTGACAAAACTATTAAAATGGTATGTTAATAATAAAATTAAAGACAGTACTTTTGTGTTTGCATTTCCAAAATGCTTTTATCGTTTGAGTAAACAGACGAGAGACGAAGGGTTTGCTTTACATTCGGGTCACGGTAGACAACTTTATAATTGATTGTGTAAACTGTAAAATAACACGTAATACTATACTGACTTGCCGATACAAGACAACATGGACAAGCTTTATCAAAGAAGAAAAATGAAATTTAGGGAAAGCTTTGCAAATGGGATTTTTTTCTGGTGAAAAGTGGAACAAGTTAGTGTGTGAGAGGCTTCCAAAAGTAAAGTGAATCTCTACTCTCTACCTCTACATTTTAGTACCTACTGTTAGGAAGAAAATCCGACAGTTTGCCGGTGTACTGGCGCAACACTAGCCTTACTAAAATGTCGACGTTTATGTCCCCTCACTAATCTGACACTTAACTTGGTAATGAAAGCGCGTCATTCGCTTCAAAGGATTCTTACTAATAATGTCTAAAAGTACTAATGCCTACCTTACGATCACCAAGTTAAACGCTAGATTAGTCATCCAAAAAATAGGTAACTTAAATGAAATTATTAAACCAGATTAGACCAGATTTATTCCTTTGATTATTTATTTAAAAATAAATAGTTAACACAATTAATCTTAAGATATAGTTTTGCTGCAGACGTATAAGAAAACTGTTGCCCACAACTTTGTCTGTGCGGTATTAAACAAACTTAATTAGTAGCCTATTTTCCAGACTATGTTTTACATCTATGCCAAATTTCAGTAAGATCCATACATCTGTTTAGGATACATTCAAATATCAATCCTTCCATATCCAATCCCTTAAAAATTGGTAAGTACATCAATTTTATTGTGGTTCTATTGTCAGTGCTATTAAAATTCTTTATAGTATTCTATTTGACCTTTGGCTATGATCATTTTAATTTGTAAGGTGAATAGTTTGTTACTGGATAAACATGAAGCATTTGATTTACTTATCTCCCAAACAGCGTGACCTCAACAAATTGATATGTCATTTTGTTGTGTACAATTTTGTATAGAATTTTATAATGGTGATGTCAAACTGGTTAGATTTAATAGCTTTGCTAGTTTCACACTAGGGTGAAGTGCAATAGAGCAGTAGGATAGTAAACTTGTAAATAAACTAATTAACAAGTCAAAATAATAATAACAATAATGTAAAATCTTTATGTCTGTTTAATTATAATCTAAGCTCTTTTACAAATTATCCCTGTATCAAAGCAGCCAATGACTTCCCTTACATGTTAAAATGACAATCAACTTTCAATATTTCACGTGTATGTCACTTATTTATTTATATAATAGCTGTCGCACTCGACTCCGTTTGCGCGTAATTGAAAAAAAAATTAATTAGTAAACTTTCAGTTCCTCCAGACTATGTTCTACATCTGTTCCAAATTTCATCGAGATCTGTTCTGCCGTTCTTGAGATACCTTCAAACAAACATCCATTCATCTAAACATTCGCATTTATAATATTAGTAAGATATTTCTGCACGAACTCTACGTCTGCCTACGTACTCTTTAAGTAAATTGATGTATGAACAATAGCAGTACTGAACTGTCCTACTGGTCTACCTCACTGTTTCACCCTAGTGTGAAACTAGCATAAGGCCGTCGAGTTCAAAGGGCAGGGATCATAAGTCTTACGTTTACTTTAAACTTAAAATATGTTGCGTGTTTTAGAAAAATTAGCTGGTACGCTGTAATATTTTTATTATTTCGTATGCTATCTGTTATTGAGTGCTTTGATTTTTAACTGCTTGTTCTTTTTTTAAAACATAATGATAACAAATCTGAAGAAAAGTTCTCGTAGAAATCTTACTAATATTGTAAACACGAATGTTGGGATGGATGGATATTTGTTAAAAGGTATCTCCAGAACGACTGCATGGATCGCTGAAAGGCCTGGAAGAACACATACGCTACTAGTTAATTTTTATTTTTATTCCGCACGGACGTAGTCGAGGGCGATAGTTAGTGTAATATAAATAAAATAACTGACCAAAATAACCAGACAACTCAATCAAATAAATTCCGTAGTAACTAATAAATCAAACAACATTAAAATAAATATATAAATACAGTAGTTCTGTAATGTTTATGAATGTAGTAACACCGTTACAACATAAAAAGAAACAATTTTTAGTTTCGCGGCCAGTGTTAAGACCAAATAAAGCCGAAGTCAAACATTAGTTTGTGCTATACGATTATGCACCTTATTGCATTACAACAAAGACGTAAATGTTTAAATAAGATGAACTCTTAAATAAACTGTGAACAGATAGGAAACTTGAGTGTAGCTGTGAAACGGCTACTATTTTAATAAAATGGAATGAACTCCAACTTCGAAATTTAAATTTCGATTTATTTTTTATTTTATTTTTTTAACACTTCAAGGCGGTTCAAGAATGTACTTAATAATAACCAAAAAGTTTAAATAAAAAATAAAATACAACGGGAACTTATTATTTCATCTGCTAATCTTATTACTACTAATATTATAAATGCGAAGATTTAGATGTATGTTTGCTAGCAGGTATGTTCAGAACGGACCAACGGATCTTGATGAAATTTGGCACAGATATAGAACATAGTCTAGAAGAAAATATAGTCTATTTATTAAGTTTTTTAATTCCGCGCTGACAGACACGGGCGACCGCTAGTAAATACTAAATTGATTTTAAAAAAGTTTGTCTATCAACAAACTAAAGCTATTATTTTTATTTGTCTACAACATAGATATAGATTGGTATATGTCATAATAATTTCACTTAAAATAACTGATATTTATCTACTTTTTTAATGCAAAAAGAACATAAACATACCTTTTGATGCATCATAAAATAATATAAAAGCTTTGGTATAAAGTACTCAGACAGATTTCGTAACCGAAATAGGATTATAAGTATTGGTCGCACGATAACGCAAAGCGTTATTTAGGCCACTGTCAGACTATCTTTAACTGCTAGAAACAAATCGATTAAGCCACTGTAAGTGTGTGAAGTGTTATTAACAATTTCTTTTATGGCAGCCGAAAGTACGGTCAGCAATTGATTTGATGTAACGATGTTTTTAAAATTTATTAACTCCAAATAGTATGGTTCAATATGTAGGTAGTTAAAATTGGTTTAAAGACTTATAAATATATTTATTCTGACTTTACAAATTATATACAAAAATGTTTAGTTTTATAGACGTCATAATCTTATTAATATTATAAATGCGAATGTTTAGATGGATGTTTGTTTGAAGGTATCTCCGGAACGACTTAACAGATCTTGATGAAATTTGGCAAAGATGTATAACATAGTCTGGAAGAACACATAGGCTAAAATTATAATAAACAAAAAAATAAAGTTAAACCTTTCCAAAAAAAAATTAAGATGTCTGGAAAAAATTAAATAAAAAAAACTGTTATTGCAGATCGTACTTCTATAGTATATCACAACTTCAATTAAGAATATAATGAAGGCAAAGTGTTAAACAAGCGTCATATCATTCAAAACGTAGAGGCTTTCGTAGAAGCGACGGCTCGTTAATTTGTATTTGAAAATGCGAACAATTCTGACACCTGATGATAGATACAGTCGAAGACGTTCGCGGTGTCCCACTTTAAAAAACGATAATTCAATGAATATTTTATACGCCTTAAAGGTATATGTGCTTAAAATAACGTATTTTACACTTTAAAATATTGAGGGTACAAGTGTCTGTGGCTCAGAAGTTAAGCGTTGTAATCTGTAAATCTTGGTTGCCGTCACCGTATCTGACGACAACAGAACAGTTAATAGCATAGTTACTAACTCTATCCAAATATTAA